GTTCGAGACCCCTCTATGGAGAGCACTTTCTTTTTACAAAAAAAAATGTGCTTCTGCAAATGGGATTAACAGATTAAAGAGTGTATCCAATTAATTTATTTATCTTATTACAATAAAGGCATAACAACGACAACCTGCGGGCTTCCACATCACCCAAGAGGTGCCGCAGTCGATGCGTTCCCATTATTTAACGTAGCGCGTCCCCAATAGGCCTACACTACGATCAGCCTATACTATTTTTCAAGGTTCCTCTCTTTCAAATTTTCTCGGATGCCCAAACTTTATTTTAAGCTTATATAAAATATTTTAAAAAAAGGTTGTCATTGGGATCGAAAATCATTTTCTATTAACTGACAATATTCTCTCTCGCAATATTCTTCATGGTAATAAAATAAACATGAGACGTGTTGCGTCTTGTTTCCTTATAACTATTGAAGAACTACTTACCATGATGCTGCTGCCTGTACGACTGTGAACGACCTGACGCTGCAGGCCCCAATGTGTATTGCTAGTCGCGTGATAGTTAGCAACATTGTTGCAGACGCCCGCTCAGATTCGATCCGTCAGATTCCTAGACTGTTGTGTTGAAGTCGCCAGTACGTGATCTCAATAGACCGATATACTATTCTTCCCAATTGTCCTTCTCTCAATTTCTCTTACTTTTAGATACTTACACGCGTCAGGTTTGTGTGAAATATAATGTAAAATAATTGTCGTAATCATCTTCAATGAAGAAACTTTATATTTGAGTGCAGAACTCATATTATTAAGATTTTCTAATCGAAACCTTTTGATATCCTATTGCCCTTCGTTTATACTTTAATTACTTAAATAGATCGTTTGTGTAATGTTGATATCGCTGATCGTAGTATAGGCCTAGTGGGGACCTGCTACGTTAAATAATGGGAACGCATCGACTGCGGCACCTCTTGGGTGATGTGGAAGCCCGCAGGTTGTCGTTGTTATGCCTTTATTGTAATAAGATAAATAAATTAATTGGATATACTCTTTAATCTGTTAATCCTATTTGCAAAAGCACATTTTTTTTTGTAAAAAAATTGCTCTCCATGGAGGGGTCTCGGAACCATAGACCTCCCGATTCGTAACCGGGTGCACTAGCCAGACGCCAGAAACATCTGTTCGTTTTACTTTTTTCGGAAGTGTATTTCTAGAACTTGATCGTTTATTCAACTGCTTACTATTGTTGTTTCGCTTACTTTACATATAAGCAGAATAATATGAAGATGCACACCCGTTAAAAACTTTCGCGCCACCCTTCTCCACGTGGACGAACAATTACAGACAGAGATAATGCTCATTTCAATATTTGCTTCTCAAGATTATTGATTCCAGGTAATGAAGTGAGCTAATTATTTTCTCATAGTAAGTCTTATTGAGTTTACACTGGGCGCTGGAACTGAAGATTGCAAATAAAAAAGTATTTATAAGATTATAAGAACCAGCGGCAGTAGTAACAGCAATAGCAGACCCCTCAGCGAGAGAGGATCCGCAATCGCTCAAGTCGCCGATCGCGCGACACGAGCGGGCGTTTAAAATATTAGTCGATTCTGTCATAGATAAAATTTTTAAAAAAATATGCAAACTTAAAATAAAGTTTGGGCAACCTACAAAGGTTAAAAGAGAGGAACCTTGAACAATGTTTGTAGTAAAATGAAAAAAAAAAGAAGATAAAAAAAGAGTTCTTCATGGAGGATCGAACCCGTAACCAGCAGCGGTATATCTTGACAGGTTATTGACTCAGTTACGATGGTCGCTTAATTCTAAATTAAATTTTCTATAGATATTTATCTATGATATTTCAAAATTTCTCTTTGAACTGTTCTCGGTCGTTTCATTTACCAAAGAATTTCGTCATTCATTTTTTAATATTCATTTTCGGCATGATAAGAGGTAAAAAGTGAAAACCAATGTTTCTATGCATTTTTTACAACTTTGAAATTTATTTGAATATACACATTTGTTTGCGCATTACGTCCATACAAATGTTTAGGGTTCGGTTGGACGGAAGACCTTGCTGCCCCGCCTGTTTGTCAAGAACGGTTTGTGAGGGGCGGCTACATTTTCCCCACCACCGAGCAATCCATTCATTTTCGCTGACTGCAATATCGGCTGGAACGATGATCATGACCCGCACGGCTACGCGAAATCTGTAACATCGACAGAGGGGATGATCACGAAATCCTACTCCCGGACTCGCCGTTACGATTTAGCGCCATGCTTTTGGTATCGCCTAAAACCGGAGCGTTGTGCATCTCCCCACTCATCTCTGCATGTACCCATTAGAAGCTTGGATGTGGCGGTCCGCACCGTCCCTGCAGCTGTCTCGCTCGGCGGCCGCCGCAGACGCCACGGCGCTTTAGTCAATCCTCGAACAAGACGCCACAGCTCTAGTCTCCATGAGAACAATGTGCGCGCAAGGTGGTCGTCGCCATCTTTACATTGCAATACTACGAGTGGTTTAATTGTTCCAAGTTTATATCATTTGACAATAAAGGAATTCTTGAAAAAAGCGCGCGTGCTTAGTCACCCACACTTATCCTTAGCCGATAAAAGAACTAGCAACGACATGGATTCGACTACCGCGACGTCTGGCAGTCAGGCACGGTACTAAGCTGTTTACATTCACATAGTGTTAAGTGGTGCAATTATAGTGCTCTCCAAAAGCACCTGCATTTTTATTTCTAAAGTCTTTATTCAGTTGAAAACCCATAACCTCACCGTACCAGAAATCAACATATATAGAGAGGATTGAACACCGTTGGAGTGCTCATCAGAGCTTTGGTGGCTAACGAACCCACCCCGCCAGATTCACACAGTCGAATCTGCCGCGAAAACGACAATGGCGACGATCAAGACGTCAAAAAGCGGTTTCTAGGGTCTTTAAGGACTTCACGGAGCACGAAACGTGGTGAGTAACATCGAGCATGCCCCGTTCCGTAATTTATAACGGCTTACGTTAAAAATACATAGCAACGATACGGAGGCGGTTGCTAGGGTCGCTAAGGATTTGACGGAGCACGAAACGTCATTGTCAAATTTCATTACCTGTCACCTGTCATTATCGGTCAATATATAAATATAAAAGAAAATGTGTATGCGTTTATTCATACAGATAAATAAATCATTACTTCATTTTTAAAGTCACGATGACTTTTATCGTAGAGAAATTTCATTTCTCTAACGATATTGATAATGACCTCTTCTATAGAGCTGGTAATGACAGGTGACAGGTAATGACATTTGACAATGACGTTTCGTGTTCCGTCAAATCCTTAGCGACCCTGGCAACCGCTTCCGTATCGTTGCTATGTATTTTTAACGTAAGCCGTTATAAATTACGGAACGGGGCATGCTCGATGTTACTCACCACGTTTCGTGCTCCGTGAAGTCCTTAAAGACCCTAGAAACCGCTTTTTGACGTCTTGATCGTCGCCATTGTCGTTTTCGCGGCAGATTCGACTGTGTGAATCTGGCGGGGTGGGTTCGTTAGCCACCAAAGCTCTGATGAGCACTCCAACGGTGTTCAATCCTCTCTATATATGTTGATTTCTGGTACGGTGAGGTTATGGGTTTTCAACTGAATAAAGACTTTAGAAATAAAAATGCAGGTGCTTTTGGAGAGCACTATAATTAACTTTATTTACTTTAATTATAATGTGATTTAGTCTAATTCAATCTATCTTAACTGAATCTAGCTAATTGACTCTACGATATAGACTCGAAGTACACCCTTCAAGACCAGAAATCGAACTGCTCTTCTGGATCCCAAGGGATACAGTCCTTCATACTTCTCATGCATGCAGCCGCACTCGTACACATTCATGTGTATGTACACCCTTTGTGGAGGCCCAGCGTGTGGCGCCTTGCTGTCCGGGCCCAAGATCGAGGT